AACTTCTGCTCTCACTGCACTGGCCTTCAGCCTCCTTGTTCTCATAGGATGCGACTCCTGAGGAAATGCTAGCAAGAATCATAGTATCAGTTAGCCAAAAGACAAGTGTCTCTTTGGAAAAATCCTCATTCCTGCCAGTCTGGTCATAACAATAATGACCTACTTCCCCCCAGTTAGGACCCAACAATAGACCTACTTCTCCGCAGTTAGGACCCACTTCCCCGAATAACTCCACCAGATGGTCATCCATATGAATGTGTGGACAGTATTCCGAGCCCTAAAAGGTTCTAAGCAAATAAACAAATGAACAAACTGCTGTGGTGCAGTAACTGTAAGTGGGCTTTGTGACAGCTTTTCACACCATGTAGCCAAGGAACGCAAGCCAAGGAAAAGCTTCTTGGGGGAGGCCATACTGATCTGAATGAGCTGGAGGATGAGGAGGAATTTGCAAAAGCTAACGTTTCTTCCTAGAATGTGATCAAGATAACATAAGAAAATTGACCCTCCCTCATCCACCACCAACTGCCAATATTTCTTCAGCTAGGGTTGGGGCCTCACAAGACTCTATGATGGAGCTTTGACTGGCTTGACTATGTTCAGGGCTTGTGGAGGTAAGCACAGCTACTGTGAGATGATGGGTGCAATGCCATGACATGTCCAGAAGACTGCATTTAAAAGAACTCTACATCCTACAGCTAGGTTCTAGCATTCTCTCTACGCTCTGAGGCTTTCGGGCATGGGGGGAGGTTGGTATAAAGTCATGTGTTCTCAGTATTCTGACCAATTATGAATCTATGCATTACCCACTATCCACTGCAAATAAGAAAGTTCTCTGATGAGCAGCCCTCATCTGTGAATATGATCATAAATATTTAGAAGGCAGATTAAAACATAACTATTAAGCAAAATAACAACAGTAGGTTTCCCCTGAGGGCTGATGACCTCGAATTCATGGGCTTTTAGGTTTATAGTACCAGGTATGAATTTTCTCCCGTGGTACAAGCCTCACATCTAATCATAAAGTGGTTAGTTATGCCCATAACCTTCATGTCAGTAGTGCACCAGTAGGCACATCTTATCTTGGAGGTTGATACTGAATCATGCAGGATCCCACACTATTAAAAAAAAACATTGATGATATTTCTTCCTAACCCCAGCAGCCTGCATAGAGCCTTCCAGCACCGTGCAAGCTAGCTAGCAGTGAGAGATTTTCCTGGTCAGTTAGATTGATTTCTGTTCTGCAACTAAAGTGTATGGTGTCTTGAGAAATAGCATCTTACCATCTAGTTGTGGTGGGAAACCAAGAGCAATAGAAATATTTAATAGCCCATGTCTTCTGAAAGCAACATTGCTCACCAAAGAAGGATACCTCCATTTCATTAATATTCCTTTTAAAAATGTAGTTTTAAAAGTAGTGAGTTTCAATTTGACTTTTTTTTTTTTTTTGGTTTTTTGAGACAGGAGCCTATCCTGGCACTCGCTCTGGAGACCAGGCTGGCCTCCAACTCACCTGCCTCTGCCTCTGCCTCTGCCTCTGCCTCTGCCTCCCGAGTGTACCACCAATGCCCGGCTCAATTTGACCTTTTTATACACCCTTAGCTGAGACCAATCCACCCCCTCCCTCTCCACCTCCACTTAAACCTGTTGCTTTCATTTCTTTCATCACTATCAGCTCTGTCTTGGTTACATTTCTAGTATTGTTATAAAACACCATGACCAAGGCAACTTATAAAAGAAAACGTTTAATTTAGGAATTACATTTTCAGAGGATTTTAGTCCATGATGGCAGGAAAAGCTGAGAGCTCACCTCTTGATCTGCAAATAGAAGGCAGGAGAGACACACTGGGAATGGCATGTGTCTTTTAAAGCCTCAAAGCTGGACTCTAGTGATACACCTCCTCCAACAAGTCCATACCTCCTAATCATTCCCAAACAGGTCCCATTCCCAAACTGGGACCGAAGTATTCAAACATATGAGTCTGTGGGGCCATTCTCACTCAAATCAACACAAGCCCCATGTCCAGTTTGTTCCACAGAAGGGTAGGGTGGTGACAAGTCAATGACTCAGAATTTAAAAACAGAACTTAGAGTTCTCCCTCTTCAAATATCTCCTTTCTGAAATTCCCCTTACTTTGTGGTGATTCTGTTTGCCAGAACTGCTGCACTGACTACTATGATTTTGTTCCGTTCTTGGACTAAAAGCTGCAAGGAAGGGAAAATCACCCCCAGTGGTTTATTCTTCCAAAACGTTCTTTAAAAATCCAATGTATCTATTTCACCACTGAGAATTACCCTTGACTTCATCTAGAATCTTGTGATTTGAGCAAAGGTGAGATTCCACTGGAGGTCGTTTGTAAGATGGAAGCAGAATCTCTCCTGATGTTCTGATGGGGAATTCTGTTAAACCCAAAAACTAAAATTAGAAGAATGCTATATTTTAAATATTCAGTCTTGCTAAGAGTCAGTTTTGTCTATCCACCTGATTCTTTGGCATTTCTCAGTATAATTTCCTTCATATAGATATAGATCCTGTATGTTTCTTAATAGATAAAAACCCAGATCTGCTATCTAAACCAATTGTGGTTGTGATTTCACTGTGCTTCCTTATTTTCGGCTGCATGTTTTTGGTAGGGACTTTTTGGGAGTCTTTTGGCATTGAGCTCTTTCTCTTCCTGCTGCAATCATGTGTGTTTTCTTTCTTCATTATTAGCACACACCCTCTACTTAGAGTCAAGCCAGCTGAGAACATCAGTTGTCCATTTCTGTTTCTGATCTGATACATGGATTGATTACCTTGCTGAGCACTTGAGGTTGTGATCTCAACAGGAAGCTAGTGGGGTGAGGGATGGACCACTAGTTTTTCAGATGACATCCAGACTCGTCTGAACTACACTTGACCTTAGCCCTTGAAGAAACAAAGGGTCTAGTCCTGGGCCTGAGTAGGGTCCGGAGCAGCTGAGGGGTAAGAGCAGGCAAGCAATGTCTGTAAGAAACCCAGGCCTTCGGAACCATCACTAGAAAAAAGCAGGTGCTACACCCCAGGCCACTGCCTCTACCCACACCTCTTCTTGACGTCTGTAATACCTGGTTTAATCCTCCCAGTTCAGTGCTGACTCCAGGCTGCTATCCTGGCTCTGTCCTACCCACTGCCCTTTCAGACTCTAGAAGCCAGTATTTTATCAGATAGAGACGTGTGCATGGTAACTGCCCTGTGAAGAAAGATCTCATTACACTACGATTGCAGAGATTACCTGAGCCTGGTGTAACCTTCTCTGCTTTAATTTATAGTGAGATTTCTAATTTAGTACTGCTATATCCATAGTCTAATAAATCCTCCAACCCCTGTGTCCCCAAGGAGAGGTGATATCATGCTTAGTAGCTAGAAGTACTACTAAAGGAGGTTCCCTTGTGCCATATCCAAAAGCTGCAGAAAAACACTAGCAGCAACTTCAGTAGCTTGAATATCTCTACAGGGTGACCCTCCCCACTGGAAAGTCAATACACAGACCTGGGTTTGGGGAGAGTACTCAGGGAGAGGATGAAAGTATACCCCTATTGAGTAATGAAGTCCCAGACTGCCACCGAATGAGCTGTGTGACCACAGGCACATCACATGCCTGAGTTTGAGTGTTCCACCTGTGAAATGGCTGATGATGGCGGGCATCTCTCAGGAAGATCACTGAGATAGTAGGTGTGAGGCAATAGCAAAGCCAGGCAAGGTGTGAGCAGACCATCAGATAGATGGCCTGTGTTAAACACAGTGGTGCAGACTTCCTCCCACTACAGATAACCTACTGAGTGTCTAGCCCATGTGGGCCTCTGTGATTGAATACAGTGACATTGCAACTTTTCCTGAGAAGATATGAACAATTGTCTATTTGCCCCAAATATGGCTCCAATGGCAGACCAAGGTAATGATTCTATCATAGTCCAACCTGGCCAGCCAGTAAGTTTTGGAGGTGTTCTTATCTAGAGCATGGGTGAATGTTTACCTACAGGAGTGTAGATAACCCAAAAACAGACACATCAGAGACTGGGGAGATGGCTCAGCTGGCAAAGTGCCAACTGTGCAAGAATGAGGACTTGCATTTGCATCCATGGAATCCATGTACAATGGACAGGTATGGTAGGATGCATCTGTAACACTAGAGGGCTAGAGTGAAGAGGATCCATGCAACTAAGTGGTCAGCCATCCTAGCAGAATCAGTGAGCTCTAGGTTCTGTGATGGTTACTATCTTAAATAATAAGGTGCAAAGTCACCAAGAAAGAACTCCGGCCTCCACACACACAAGTATACAGGCACCCACCTACAAACATGCACATACCCACACAAACACACACACACACACACACACACACACACACACACACACACACACACACACAATCAGTTGCCATCACCAAAAGTCCCACATCTTGGATGGTGAACTCATTGAAGCTGCATCATAGAGTCCACTTTTGGTTAGCCTTCTGTGTCCTGTATGCTCTAGTATCTCCAAAGATTGCTTGTAGCTGGGAAACGCCAGAAGAGAGTAATGGCTGAAATCTCAGCTGAGGGTCCTAAGACCTGCTCCCCCCTTCTATTAAGGGATGTCAAAAGCTCCATTGCCATTATCATAAACAGATGTATCTTTCTGTTCATTGAGTTGCCATGGATACCTGGCCAAGATACCTCCACTCCAAGATGGTGAACATATTATACCCATGGGGGCAAAAGTCAACCAACATCTACATGTGGGCACAGGCATCTGTGCTGGATTTCAGTGGGGAGCTAGTGTGGTTCTGGAGTGCCCTGGGATTCACGGGGTGTTCTCAGCCTGGTTCAGTAGCCAGGCAGAGCTGAGTCTGTGCCTTCCAGCAGTGGTCTGTGTGCACTGTGCTCTTCTCTATGCAGACAATCACCAAGCTGCTTACAAGTGATCAGGGGTACATACTGGACAAGTTGCTTCTGTTTGTGGGGAGTCTTCCTTTCTCACCTTTTTTTCTCTTTTGTCTGCAGAGCCTGACCCAGGGATGTCCTATGGCATAATGGAGATTGCCATCATTGCAGGTGAGCTGGCATGGCAGCACCCTTCTGGAAGCCAAGAAAGACCCTGACCAGAACAGGCTTCAGGATCTAGGTGGAATAAGGGGTGGCCATGGCTGGTGCCTCTCTCCTATTCTAGTTTGCTTCTTATTGCTATGATAAGCACCTTGACCAAAAGAAACCCGGGGGGGGGGGAGGAAAGGGTGTTTTAGCTTATACTTCCATGTCACAGTCCTTCACTGAGGGAAGCCAGGGCAGGAACTCAAGCAGGACAGCGGCAGAAACCATGGATGGAAACTGCTGACCAGCATGTTTCCTCTGGCTTGCTCAGCTGTGTTTCTTACAGCGCCCTACCATGGGATGGAACCACCTTCAGTGGTAGCAGCAATAAAAAAAAAAATGCCCCCATACACTTGTCCATAGGCCAATCTGCTTAAGGCATTTCTTCAATTGAGATTCCTCCTTTCTAGGTGTGTACAGACTTGTGACCAGTTGACAAAAATCATTTTACTGCCCCCAGGGGGCACTTTGAGGATGGAAAGGAGCACTCCTGTCCTGGCTGGAAGTGTCACACATGGTACCTGACAAAGCAGGGACAAAAAAGGGACTCACTACACATGTACCCCGACCTTGGATCCCCAGCGGTTCAGACTGGAGAATGAGTCATCTGTGATTTAGAAATAAAAAATGATAAAAACAGATCAGTAGAAAGGGAAACTGGGACAAAGTCCCTACAGAAGAACTTTGTTTGGGGTAGGGTGGTCAGAGCACCATAAGAGGCCCTGAAGTGAGAAAACATTAGGAGAGAAGTGCCATGTATAACATGGTAGGAATTCTGAAGAGAAAGCACCTTCAATTCCAGAAAACAAAAGCAGTTTCTGGCTCTTACAGGTGGGGTGGTAGGAGGTAGGGATCGACCACGTGACCTAGTCTGTGTTCTAGGAGTCACAAAGTAGGAAGGCATTAGATAAAAGAGGGTTGTAAGCCAAGGTTGTCAGAGTTCTTTCTGGACATCAGCTAGACTTGCTCCCAGAGGCAAAAAGGGGTGGGGGACTCAACCACTTGTGAGGGTTGTGGGGTCTCAGCTGCTCTCCATGGCTGGGTTTGAGAGAGACTATAGGAAGATTTCTTGGGTTTTAGAAGAAAAAAAAAAAGCAGCAGCTAACAAGTGTGCCCTAGCTCTGTAGAGCAGGTTTGTGGTACAAGTAGGTAAGCTAGTCCAGGCTTCAAGGGCTCCACATCTCCGTCATCTCACACTGCCCTGACTCACGCCTCCATCCTAAAAGTTGGAGCCTGGGCAGGTGGCTTCCCACTTGTGGCTCAAGAGCGAGCAAGCTTGGGAGGTGTCTCGTCGTGCTCCCTTCTTTGTGCTCCACTCTTCTCACTATAGCTGGCACATAGCTCAGAGATCATCTTCAGTTAAAAATAAAGAAGCAACAGGAAGCCACCAAAGACACCTGTTGATTTCACCTAGCTGCTCATTCACTCATCATTTTGCTGTCCCTGAGCCCTTCCTTTTCTCAGGAAGTATTGGCAGGTACAGTGTTCCTGTGACAGTTGTAAGCTTAGGAAATCGTCCCATACAAATAAGACATGGAGCTGTATTCCCCGATATTGTTCCTCCAAGAACCCTGCATTCTAAGTGAAGATAGTTTGATTCTACAGCTTTAAACCTAGTGAGCCAATCCAAAACACCTCCCATGGGATTATTGCCTTTGAACCATCTAAATTTCTCTTTTCCAGGCCCTAAGTGTTCTGACCCCTCTTATCTGCCTTCCACTTTACTTCTGTCATTCCTGGGACCTAACACATCTTTGACATAGACCTGGGCATGTCGTCCACTGAATGGCCAAGTCCACATCTTCCTGGAGACCTGGAAATCTTTGCTCCCGGGAATGAATGGTTCATGCTGGATAAAGGCAGCTCTCCAAAAGCACCTCCCCCACCCATATACTACCATACCTGATCACCCTTGTCTTTCCCCCTGTGGACTCTATGCATGTAACCAGTTCTTCCTAGTTTTCCAGGACTTTCATAGTCTTGGCACAGAAATTTCTATATGTAAATGGGATTGCCTGAAGAAGTAAAGCCTGACATTCTGTGGGCCCTTTAGCTTCAAACCAATACAAGTACTTGTGTTACTGGTGGTCTCTGTAGAGACAGCGTGTGTGAAGAATTGAAAGCACCCACAAATAGCAAAGCAACAGGGTTTTTATTCCAAGGCAAAGTGAAAGTTACAGAGTATCAATGCCATGAGAGAACAGTTGGTCCTGAGCAAGATTTGCACGAGGATGCTTGGAAAACTGGATGCTAAGGATGTTGTAAGGGTGAACTTTTTTTTTGAGATTATAGTTTAATTACAACATTTCTCTCTTCCCTTTCTTCCCTCCAAACCCTCTATATAACCTACAACACTCTCCTTTAAGTTCATGATCTCTGTTTTTACTAATTTTTATTGCATTAGTAAATTTTTATTTACTCATTTTTATTACATATATATAATCACCTTTTAGTCCATATAATGCTACCTGTGTGTATGTTTTCAGGGCTGACTGTTTGGCACTAGTCAACCAGCTAGTGTACTTTTCCTTGGGGAGGGCCATCTCTCTCATTCCCAGCTTTCCTCAGTTGCCTATAGTTCTTTGTGTAAGATTGAGACCTCACAGGATTGATTTTTAGTCCAGTTTGGCAAGTTCATTGGAGTCATCCTTGTTCATCTCACATTTTGGCAGTCTTTGGGTGAAATTTTTTCTGGTTTTTGGAGACAGGGTTTCTCTGTGTAGCTTTGGAGCCAGTCTATCCTGGCACTCACTCTGGAGACCAGGCTGGCCTCGAACTCACAGAGATCCACTTGCCTCTGCCTCCAGAGTGCTGGGATTAAAGGCGTGCGCCACCAACGCCCAGCTCTTGGGTGAATTTTTGTGTTAATTGATGGACTCTGGTTATGTAAGCCTTTGTATACTATTCATGTCCTTTCCTATGATGCATCTGATTTTAAACAATGCATGCTTGGTCATGCATAAACATAAAATAGCAAATAGAGATTTTTTCCCCCAGGTGATCCTCTTGTGGTTTTCTATTTCCCTGTGGTCAGTAGTTTCATAGATCAGATACCACTGTATTATTTTACTGATTGACTGTGGCTACCAGGGTTTTCCAAGGTGCACTCTACTCCAAGAGAATAATGTTATGCCCAGAGGAAGAAGTCACACTGTAACAATGCCCACAACCTGACTTGACTGAGTTGCATCCTATCTCCCTCTTGCAGCTGTGATCACTGCAGTGGCCTTGGTCCTGGTCTGCCTCCTCTTTCTCATGCTTCGGTACCTGTACAGGCACAAGGGCACCTACCACACCAATGAGGCCAAAGGCACAGAGTTTGCTGAAAGTGCTGATGCAGCCCTGCAAAGTGACCCTGCCCTCCAGGACGCTGGGGACAACAGCAAGAAGGAATACTTCATCTGAGGGGTAGCAGACTCCACCTCCCTTCAAGATGTTTCTGGCTACAGGAGAGAAAGCACACCCACTATGTACCACCATTATCAGCACCAGGAAGCCCTCAAGGGCACCCCAAGACTCTTACTGCAGAACACTGGGTGCCTGCCAGGAAACTGATCCAGATGGAAGGAATCAAGGTGTAGAGCACCTCTTCCAGGGACTCAATGGCCACCCAGAGGCTGGCATTGGCTCTACAAGAAATAGAGAATATCTGGATACACAGGTCTCCCTGCACAATGCAGGCCTCATCTCACTAGTACAAAAGTTCTCCTCATTGTGCATGGGTGGTTGGGCCTGGAAGTGGGGCTGTATAGAAGTGTGACATCTATAAGCTGACTGGGGATACTGGCATCAGATGGCAGTCCTTGACATTTGGGGAGAACAGCAGGTGCCAGAGCTAAAAGGCATCTTCCTTTCCCATCAATCCAGCTCAAAATGATAACAAATAAATCTGAAGTGTAACTGAGCATTCATTATCAAATGGCACTACTCTAAGTGTCTAGGAAACAGTGAATGCCACCCATTGCTGACTTTTCTTATGTATAACATTGTGTCTGTGTGCATGGGGCAAGAATTGGCCAGTTCTGGCAAGAAGACAGGAGGAAGAATGACCTTTCCCCTCACTGGTCCAGCTATATAAAACAAATGGAAGGATGAAGCACAGTCATTGGGCCACTGGCTGAAGCACTGATTTCTTGATAAATAGTATTAGAAAAAGAGACTTGTGCTCAATAGCCATGAGTGAACTCCATCAGCCCCGGGTTTGGGTCTTAGCTCCTTTGTACTGCTCTTAGGACCTTAAGCCATGCAGTTGACTTCTCTGGCCTTAATGGTGGCATTTTTTGACATTTTTTCAAGTAGAAATGATGCTAATTGTGTGACCCCTGGTTCCTAATTCCCAGCATTGTGGGAAGAAACAGAAGTATCAGATACTAGGCCATCACCATAGTCTAGTGTCGCTAGCACAGTGCCTTTATGGGCTTGCCTGTGTTGGCTAATGAGAATTCATCATTACACCACCTCAAAACATTCTGAGAAGCCACTTATTTGAAATGGATAACAGGGAGAAAATGAACTAATTAACCAACCCCTTCAAGGTGAAATTGCCAGTGGCTCTGCAGTTTACTCTGAGGCCAGCATTGCTTAGTTTAAAGACTGCCCCCTCCTGTACCTAGGTCCTCTCAGGAGCCCTCTCAGCTGTGCTGTCTCCACCTAGAATCCATTAAAAAAAAAAGAGACCCATATCATGTTCCCCTGTAAGCTAATGAGAATATAAGCTCAGTCAAGTATGGCCACCAGCCAAAGGAGCTGAAGTCCTGGGAATGCTGTGGGGAAGAGAAGCAGGGATTTAATCAGAACAAGAGAACAGTCAAGTGACAGATGGCCCCAGATTGGTGAATGTCTGTGTTCTCATCTATGAAGTAAATGGCTGGCTACAGTTGTCACCCATTCATTCATTTAGAGAGGCCTAGTCTAAAACCCTAGTGGATGCTTGAAACCAAAGGCAGTATTAAACCCCTTGTATTTGGCTTTTCTGCACACACTTATGTTAAGATTTAATTTATAAATTAGACACAGTAAGAAATTAACTGCAGTAACTCACAGTAAAATGGCATACTTTTAAGCATAAGCTGTAATAAAAGATTTTTGAAACCATGAATTGCTTATTTCTGGAATTTTTTATTTAATATTATCAGATGACAGTTGGCCATAAGTAATTACAACTTCAGAAAGCTCCTATGGATGGGGGCAGCTACTGTTATCTGCCCACAGCTGAGACTGTGCCACACAACAGCAGCCTGGGAAAATAACTGTAGAACAAAACAAACAAAAGGTACAGTCGGGTATAGATGGGCTCAGAAAATACCATAATAAAGCAGAGTTGAATCAGGTGAGGTGTTTCTAGGTCTCTGCCAAGCCAGTTAGATTGTGGCTGCTGAGGAAGGGGAACTGAGAAATGTTACACTTTCAAAGGGGCTTGGCCAGACATACCATGTCTTCACAGAATATTTCTGGTTTTCTTAATATTTATTTATTGTGTGTGGATGAGACTGTTGCACACGTGTGAACCAGAGGAAAACTTGAGGGAGTCGGTTCGCTCCTGTTATGTGGGTTCCTGAGAACATGTCTAGGAAACACTAACGACTTCTAATTTCCTTCCATGTGGTGACATCACTTCCAGCGTTTCAGCATGCACAGCTGGGGCTTTGTGTTCATGAATGTGAGCCCAAGTGGCTATTCAGTAGGTAGGTACAGAAGAGGAACCCACACCAGCACAGACACACCCCTCCTTGCATAGGATGGCCCTAGAGCCCCTGGGCCTCCAAGGCATTCCTATCCGGCTATCTGTCCTTGCTTCCCCTAGTAGGCTCAAAGGCTTCTGTATTGCCTGTGAACAATGAGAAGCAGTTCCCTGTGCTTATACATGTCTGTTCTCTCCTTCTCTCAACCTCATTAACTGCCCAGTGCCTAGAAAACCTATCAAAAGAGCCCAACACCCAACCCAGCCTGGATCAGTTCCAGCCGAAGCAGTGATGACTCAAGCTGTGGGACTGGCTCATTGAAGGTGGCTCAACAGATGCCACCAATAAAGATGCTATCTCTGGTGACTACAGAAGTCAGATGGCTGTGACTGGTAAAATGAATAAATGAAGTAGTGCACATGTATGCTCACATGTGAACACACACACACACACACACACACACACACACACACACACCCAATGCCTCCATAAATCAGGGAGCCTTTTTATCTCTCCCTCAGCACTGCCTGGAAGTGATGCATCGTGCCTTCAGGGAATGTACTGGGCTATGCATGCATAGTTGCACCATACCTTCAGGGAATGTTGCTGGGGATATATGCGCAGTTGCACACATTGGAGTTTTCATAAGCTAGTAAGGGCTGACCTAGTGTGAGAGACCTTTCTGTAAGGAGACCATCACGTGGGGCACTGGCCTGTCACTGAGAATATAATTAAGAATGCAGCAATATCTATTAGGTCAGTAACTCCCCATCCATGCCTCAGGACTTGAGGACAGCCCAGCCCACTTCCACATTCAAAGGAGAATAGACCACTGGATGACAACATGACAAAGCGGCCGTGCCAACCCGTTGAAGTAGCTTGTGCTGCTTTCTAGTAAAACAATCATCCTGCAATGAAGGTACAGCTGCTCCTTGCCCTGGGACTGTATGATCTGGTCCTGTAAACCCATCCTTGATCAAAGGTTTCATTAAGTCAAAATGCATTTTAGGGGATGAAAAGATGGCTCAGATGGTAAAGTGCTTATCCTCAGGCATGTAGACTTGAGTTCAACCCCCACAACCCACATTTAAAAGAGCTACACCTGATGGCATACATTTATAATCCCAGTGATGTGTGAGGCAGAGGTGGGCTTGCTCACCACCAACCCTCAACAACTTGAATGGACCCCAGGCCTATAAGAGACGGTGTCTCAAATAGCAACTTGGACAGCAACCAATGAACAACACCCAACATTGTCCCTTGATCTTCACACATGTACACATGCACACACAGAGAATATATGCACGCATGCACAGATGTTTGTGAACACACATTGTATCACAGACTCTTTAAATGACTTGTCATCACCACTCTCTCAGAAATCAGGCCATGACCCCTGCAGCTCCCTTTCTTTCTCTGGTACAGATAATTTAGAAGTTGTATGGTACCCTTGAAGTTCCTCCCTTTAGTGGCCTCAATATAAATTTGTGGTCCCATCATGTGGTCCCACCTGGCTCCATGTGTGCCAGGAGTCACATAGACTCCCATGTTGTAAAATTCCCAACTATTCCCTAAAACCTTAAAAAGTAGTATATCCCCATAGTTCTGAGGAGGATTTCTCTAAAGTAGCTACCTCTCCTTCCCCTCCTCTCCTTCTCCCTCTTCCTCTCTTTCTCCCCCACCCCTCCCCCATCCTTTACCCCCCCCCATGACATTTTCAACAACAGGTATCTCTCTTACCTTTCTTTTACTTTAAGCTGTCTCTCATAATAGTCACAATTCTCTCCCACTGCAATGCCTCATCATGGCCTCTTGGTTGCCCTCTCCTAATAAAGCTCATACTAAAGGGTGACTGGTCTCACTTCCTTTCCATTGAACCCGGTGGTTTTCTCTCCATCCTTTTGTTATAACAGCACACATGCACTCATGCACACTTGTGTTTATACACTTGGTCTCAAACTCAGCTGATCCTACTGTATCTTACAGGTGCTTGGAACACTTCCATCTCCTGCCAGTAGAGCTGGGCAAGATTACCAAACCCAGTGCCTTCATGTAATAAAGTGTTGACTATTGTATGTAATTTCTTGACTGTTGTAGTGAAAGCTAAGAACAGAAGAAAGCAGGATTGTGTATGTACACTTTCACCCTGCCATACAGCAGAAAACTACTGAGCTAGAGCCAACCGGAGTCAGGAATCATCTGTATCCAAGGAACTTCAGAGGTGTGTGTGTGTGTGTGTGTGTGTGTGTGTGTATGTGTGTGTGTATGCGCAAGCGCACCCAAATGTATGTGCAGAGACAGCCACACATTTACTAGCTACTTGTGTAATTGTGGGGATTACATAGCTGGAAAATACAATTTCTGCCTTCAAGAATTTGAGGCTTTGTAGAGAAATAAATATATGTGCAAATGTTCATGGCCCTCAAGTATCACAGATTCTGAAAGCAAAGAGATAGCAGATAAATTTGAAAACTGAAAAAAAAAGACACAGTTTAATAGTAAGGCAGACTTAGCAAGAGCCCCAGAAAAGGAGGAGGTTGGATCTGCAGAACAGTAGGTAAGAGCTGGAGTATAGAGGAGCCAAGGCCCCGAGCTAAGAAAGTTGGAGTTTGTTACACATGACTCAGGAGCCACTGAAATAACATGAGGTAAAAAGCAGTGGCCACATCACACAGAACTCAGACTGGACTGTGGAAATCTACAGAGGGCAGGGGGTGGGGAAGTAGCCCAGTCAGTGAAGTACTTGCCTAGCAAGCATAAGGACTCAAGTTTGACCTCCAGAACCCCCAGAAAAGACTGGATGAAGCTTCATTTCGCAGCCCCAAGATGAAGCATCTACACCATACTCCCAAATCTCAAGGAGCACATAGAAAGATGGGATGAAAGACTGTAAGAGACAGTGTTCAGAGAGAACCACTGCAAAATAATGTCTTCTGAACATCCGAGGCTTCTGTGGTTGTCTGAAGAAAACCAGCAGAAGATCAAGCCAGTCAGCTTTGCAGTGAGGGCCAGGGAGGGACTGCTGAAGCCCTGTCCTACCTGAGGGCTACTCCCAGTTGAAGGCTGAGGGGGGTTGCCCTCCTCCCCAGCCAGAGATAAGGTTTTCCCAAGGATGAGGCCCCAGATAAGCTGCCTGTCTTCCAGTGAATGGGCTTGCACCCTGTGCATACACAGGCTGCTCTAATAGAACTTAAGGCTTATTTTAAAAACTGGAACATAAAGTTGGATAAAATCAAAACACATTGTACATGTGTATGCAATTCTCAAAGAGTAGATAAAAATACATTAAAAAACAAAGCCAGACATAACAGTGAGCACACTTGTATTTCTAAGGGTGGGGAGGTGGAGACAGACAGATCCCTAGGCCAGCCTGAGTGGTAAGCTAGGAAGAGACCAAATCTCAAAAACACTAGGTGTGGTATCTTATTTCTCTCTGTATCTCATCCTTTCTCACCCCTCAATTTGTATTTAGGAGGTGAGATTCCAGGGCGGAGAAAAAAATGGGTCTGTTTGATCAACCACTGCTACCAAGAGATGTTGAGAGGTTTTCAAAGACAGAGCAGAGTTAAGGCTAATGACAGGCCTGATAGATAAGATAAATTATGAAGAGAAGGACCTACAAGGGAAGACACTATTGCAAAACCACAGCTGTGGTCTTGTTGACCCTAGAAAGACCCAGTTTTGGAGTGTGTGAATCCCACAGACAAGGAGTGAGGTTGACTCTAAAACCAAAGACATTAACTAAAACTGCATGAAGGTTGAACTCAGCCAGATTTTCCTAACAACCCCACATGTGTTTATATTTCTTCCCTCACCACTACCTCATCCCTGAAGGACAGGACAGCTACTCTTGAATCTAGATACTAGAGGGTCCAGAATTACATCGCCAGGCTTAAAGAGATGTTGCAGAGGTGGGAAGTAGAGTCCACACAGGACTCTCCAAAGAGCAGTCATTCTCAGTTCTCTTTCTCCTCCTTGCCTATATACAGGAGACTTACATAGGGGTTTAAAACAAAACACCTAAGAAACAAGACACTGCAGTTTCACCTCTGACTCCACACACATACCTTGAATTTGCACCTACACACACACACACACACACACACACACTGAACAATGCTTACACTTCCATGATCCCATTGCTGGGGCTGAATTCCACAGTATTCATCCTTTCAGTCAAGGGAGGTATGGGTTTCAGCTTCTTCAGGAGGCAGGGCATTGGGTCAGGGCTCAAAGCCAAGCCCTGTGTAACACCCAGCGGAGAACTTTATCTCCTTGGAAAGAACTCCTGACACGTTTATCTTATTTAAGCTGTTCAATTGTTTTCCATTCCTTTCCTGAACATTTTCTCATCAGAGCATTGGAATACCTTAGGGCCAACAGGATTTTAGCTGGCTCAGTGCCAGGAATAGAACTG